GTTGACACTGCAGTGGCGTGGACGTGGATTTCCTTATCTAGACTTTATGCACGCTCTCATCTCAGCCTGTTATCGTTCCCTTTTTCACCTCGCTTTGCTAAGGAGGCCATTTTGTATTCCGGACACATGAAGCCGACGTGCTCTTATCTTCGCCGGTGCCTTTGAAAAGGTTCTGTTTCTGCATTTAGAGTACAAAAAAAAAAGATATTCCAAAGGCGAGTGAGGTGACTTGTGTCGCTATGCTAACAGAGCGAGAGGGCTAAAGTGCACCGAGGCTGACAGCCAATTCATCTTGGTTATGAACACAGATGACAAGCGATATCCTTGGGTACACATCAGCCGATGACGCGGGCCTTTTAAGGGAATTTTGTTATTTTATTAACAATCTTTCAGGGACTTTATTCAAGAATACCACAAATAATTTTGATTTGACTCTTGGACAGTGAGTCGGTCTTTCTATACATCCAATTACGCGAGTGACTTAAGATACAGGTGACCCGACGTAGTGGTTTTAGGAGTTCGTCGTCATCCCGTATGCCGATTGACGAACCCGTCGGTCGATCTATTTGTCCTTTATCTGTATGTCTGGCCATCACTCCATCTCACTATCATTCCATATAAACCCCTCCATCGTTAGATCGACTGAGTAATTCATTTGGCCGTCCGCTGTCCTTCCGCTTATGACTTTTATCGATCTATCGCTCCCATCCATCAGTTGGCTGGTCCACCCGTTTGTCCGGTATCGGTCCGTCATTCTGTCCATCGGTGCCTTCATCCATCTCTCTAGTCTATCTGTTTTTCCAATTATACTTCCATTGACATTGCTTGGTTAGTTATCCGGGAGGTCTGTCCATGTGTCCGTTCTACAGAATGTACTTCAATCCACATACCGGTCAGTCAGTCCATATATCTGTCTCCCAAACAGTCAAGCCATTAGTCTTTTCCGATCAAACGTCATCAACGTGTTGGTCATGTCCATCTATAAATCCATCCATCCATCGTTGCAATTATACTTCCATCAGTCGGATAGTGTGTCCATCTATCCATCTGGCTCACTGTTCATCTAGCATTTCTATTTCCATTGATCAGATAGACGGTACCTTCTTATTTTTCTCAATTATATTCCAATGAATACCTCTGACATTGTTGACATAATGGATTCGTAAAAGCGGCACTTTTGATGCAGCAGTTCAAATCATCCTTTTAAGAACTTCACTTCTGGCTGTAGGGAAACATTAATTAAAAAAAAAAAAACATGTTGAGCATCATGTTCGCCCAAACCCCCCCATGCCCCCCCATCCCCCCTCCCAAAATGTCAGCACTGCTGTTCTTCCTGCATATAAAACAAGCCCCCCCCTGCCGCCTCCCGCCTCCTTCCTGCCTTATGACAGCGCTTGTCAAGCCGACAGGCGCTAGCGGGG